CCTTATGCTTGATAAAAATATATATAAAAAAGAAGCACTATATCTATATATATTAGAAATGACTTATTAATTCATTTCCATTTTACACTTTCTTTTACTAACTTAAATAAAAGCTGTTTAGTTAAAGTTTGGTGGTTTCTGCTACCTGATGTGGTACAGTAGCAGAGTCCTCCTAGAGCAGAGGTCACGGATTAGCGGACTGCGGTACGGATACGGACCAGCTGGCTAATCCGGACCCAACCCAATTTAAAACATTTAGAAATTACCGAATGTTGTCCTGCGACTGTGTCTAATCCGCTGTTTCTCCCGTCTTGCTCCTCTCCGACTTCCTCAGAGCTTAAGGAGAGTATGCGCTATATTATTATTAAATTCAGGAGCAAAACATGCGAAAATGATTTAATATGACATATGAAAAAAAATCCCACCATCTTCAAGCCAGCATATTTTCAGCTTCTGCCCAAATATTTATGTTTTTTTGTGGATTTTTGTAAGAGGGATAATTAGGATCATCCATGGTTTGTATGAACTATGTTTGTTATCCGCTTCCAAACTCAGCATCTCTACATCCAGGCCTGAGATGAGAAGTTTCTTTTGAAGTTGTGAGAGGCGCTCTTGGGCCTTTTGACTGGATTTGATGAATCTTTTAAGCCTCTTAGTATAAAATAAATATTTTGATCGAGATGAGAAATCTGCTTCCTGGTATGTTGAAGTACTAATAGTTTGCATCCAATCATTTAAACAAATGGTTTTAGTTTTTGTGAATATGTATGTCATGATGTTACAAAGTTCTGACCCAAAAATGCAGAAAACCGAACAGAGAGACCAGGGAAAAGGTTTAACGGGTTTTATTTAAGAAGTAAAACAAGGGGAGAAGTGTTGCTCTGAACACTGCTCAACCGGAACTGCAATTGAGGGGAAGACACAGTGGTTAGTTCAGGCTCAGTGGGGAATCTGACTTGTGAAACTTGGTTGCCGACTCACGTTTCCAGAGAAGTTGTTGAATCCTTGACTCCTGTCTGTGTGCTGTGGTTCCAGTGTTTGTCTGATTCGATGGAGGGTGGAACAGGGTTACCCAGAATACGGTTGTTAGTTGGTGAATGGAGAAACTGACTGCCACTCAGATTTCCTGCGGTACTTGAACTGGTCGTAGTGGAGAATAATCCCTTTCTCAGTGAGAAGCTCAAATGATCTCTTGGGGAAAGTGGATCCAAACCTCCTGTTTGAACCCCAGCTCAGTTTGAAGCTCAGTTGATCCTTCCAGGGTCGGAAGGTCCGAGAAAACCAGTTTGCAGGATGACTTCCTGGCAAGAGGCAAAGACAAAGCAAAGTTAAACTCAGGTTGACAAAAACGCAGCTTGACTAGAGTACCCTAAACTGGCAAACACTCTGGCGTCGAGGTAGTGGCAGTCAGCAGCTTAACAACACTCCGTTTAACGAGGAAACCATCCGCAGGTGTATGAGGAGGCGGACCAGAACCAAGCGCCTCCTGGTGGATGAAGGGAGACAAAAAAAGAAACACAGACACAAAACACGAGTCCTGACAATATAAGCTCATAAATGAGCCTGGGATGGCTTGAGAATGGCTTAGTCTCCATTCAAACCCAGGTTTAAAACCTTGCAGGGCAGCATAAAGCCCACTGCTCTCATTAAGCCATAAAAAGAAAAAAAATAACAAACGCTCAGTTCAGGTGTTTTATAAAATATGTGAATCCGGAAATTGTCTATATACCAAACTGAACGATCGTTGTTCTCTACTTCAAAAAACACTTTAGATTTTAAAATGGAAACGTGTTCAATTTCTTTTAGATTTTTTTTATTTCAAAATTCAATGTACAGATTATAATTAAAAATGTATCCGTTTCTTCATTAGGACCCTGCTGATTTTTTATTGGTGACCCCTGTCCTAGAGGCTCTGATAAAAAAAAAACCTGTATCATAACCAGAAGAGACACCATTCTAGTTTCATCAGGCGTTATTTGTTTGTTTTA